CAGCCGGCAACAGATCATCTTCCCCTCAGAGAAGAAGAAATCCAGAAAGGGACTTGATGATTCGCCAGACTGAAAGGCACTCATCGTTCTACGCTGATGCCAACACTCGAGGTTGTCACGTTTTGACAACAGCTATTGCTTGTTTACATGTAGCTAAATGTAACAAGTGAAAGGTATAAGATCACCACGATTGCCCCCGTTTCTGAGTTGAATTGATAGCCCTCTGCATCTCGTAACGCAAAGATCCTGGTTTTTGAAGGTCAGTTGTCTTCTCTTTTCATTTGCCCAAGTCTCATCATCCTCGTATGCTCTTCAAAGTTTTGGACACCTATATAATTCTCTTCTTTCGTACGTTGATGGTCTGATTTCTGCTTCTCGATCCAGGTCGAACATGGGCAAGGGACGGAAGAAAAGCACCGGAGGCACAAGCTCAGGACCCACAAGCCCTTCAAACGAACAACTTGAGATTAATACCAAAGGTGAGCTCAGAGGTTTGTATTGATCTGTTTTGGATGAATCTCGCCATAAAACCCGTTTCACTAATTTCTACTTGCCTCAGGCAAAGTTCCTAACTCTGCTCAACCAAATACGCAGTTCGTGAAGGATCAGACTTTTCCAAAAGTCCCTCCAAGCGCAGCAGGGGGATTTGTGCGAGATGACGTAGCAGCAAAGGTCCACTCGTTACCAGATGACTTGCATGTTTTCCTCGACCACGACTTCGATGAAAAGTGTAACAAGATCAAGAATGTCCTATATTATCTTATCTTGTATCATTTCGACCCCAAGACGAAATCTCGCCCGAACCACAACAAAACCGCCTTGAAAAAGGCGTTTCAAGATGATGTGAAGCCTTTAATCATTCCGTACATCAAACCACCCGTTATAAAACCGGAGCCAATTGACACGGATGCACCCGAAACTGTGGACTTTGATCCTCTCAGCCGAAAGACCACTCGACAGATGTTAGTTGGTGCTATTTTGAAGAAAGTGGGCAAATTCTTGATACCCGACATCGCCAGAATCAATCAACTCCTTTGGCTCTACAAAGCCAAGGTTGATAAGGATCTTCGCTTGCCAAAAAAACCGGAGTTCAGTCTGCAACCTCGCTACCTGAAAGAAGATCGCTTGAAGAGCGAGACAGTAGAAGAGCTTCGACATGCTCTGCAAGTATATGCTCCGCACATCTTCGTGTACTCAATTGCTTTGAGGCCCTCATGTCTCATCGATCTCTACATCAAATTTGTTATCGAAGGGGATCTCCCCCCTGAGCGCACCCCTGTCCTTGGGTTTCACTATGCTGTCATAGACAAAGAAGCTAATTGAACTTGAACTATCATAGAATTGATTGTGAGTATCTCAAAACATCATGTCTTGAATTGGTTTTGTCAGTTACTCACTAGACTACAATTTTGGTTGTGACATATAGTGTCATATTCGGTCCTACATCAAGTTGATCTTCTCTTGGAAGGTCTCTGATTGTGTTTCTTCTGATTTGTGTATCATGTATCACTATCAATCCTTTAGTGTTGGCGCCTATTTTTAGTATGGCATGTTTTGTATGAGTTGTGGTTTTGGAGCGCTCCATTTCATTCATGAGTCAATGATCAATAGGTTGCACTCCGTTTGGAATTCTTATGCCGGATGCGTGTTCCTACTTCCCACATCCCAGCTCTGATAAGACATATATTCTTAACTATATCCAAAATATAATACTACAATAAGCACTTCGTTGCTACCAGTTCTCTAAATATCAAAGTCTACTCGTCACTTCCCCCACGTCTAATAATTTTTTTAAAAATGCCTCGAGGGAACAAAAAAGTTGGAGAGCGTCGTCGAAAAGTATGCACATGCAAAGCTTTCAATTGCAAATCTGGCGTTTACTTGGACGCACAAGGCTTGTCACAACAAGGTGTCGAACTCAGCCCAGAGGCTTATGAGGCTCATCAACAATCGGAATTACGCAACATCGCTCAAGCTGCAACATCAGATGCTTTTGATGCACATTCTTTCCAGGATATCAACCTTGGGTCATTGTCACAAGACAATCATCTGGTCGAGATTCTGCGTGAGTTGCGTGTAAGTCCAGCTTCGCAACCAAGCCCTTCTGGATCAGGAGAAGCTGCGGATGTGGCTCAAGTACCTGATCGGTCTTCAAGAGAACATCACGAGGATGTTATCCTGGAAAGCTCTCGCACGTGCCCCGCCATAGACACTGCGAGGGAAGGTGGGATCGAAGTTTACAATACCAGTGAGTTGCTAATTATAATGCTTCACCCAGCTTAGATGACTTTTGACTCATTTCGTTTTTAAATTTTCACAGCAAACTTTTTTACTTTTAATTTGAGACAAGTCAATCCTGTCTGTCTTCATGTGGCTTTGACCACTGCGATAATCAGTATATTCGAACACGCCTCGATGTTCACTGCTTCTTGGCTCTTGGATGCCCAACGCATCACAATTGAGCTCGCTCTGACTCATGGCCTTCTTCCAAACGTCTCACCAGGCCAACTTGAGCCCCTTCAAGCGAAAGTCTTGAATCAGATCCCTAGAACCGTCGACACTGTAATTGGGTGGCTCGAGATTGACCCGTGCCTACAATTTGTAAACTGTTGCAAGGGATGCTTCGCAATGTACCCATTAGCGTCCGCGCCTAAACGCTGCACCCATCGTGTTGCAGTTCTCCCTGGAGCGCCTAGCATATCTGAAGATCCGGAAGGTGCATCAACACCACCAATTCTAGAAGACAATTATTTGGAAAAGACTTGTGGAGAACTCTTGGTTCAATTCGCACGAGGCCGGGATAAGCCTGTTAGGAAGTATGCCTTCCAAAATCTTTCGGAGTGGATAGCTCGTCTACTTTGTCGGCCATTAGTTGAAGAGTGGCTTGATGAGAGTTTGGAACAATCTTCAAAGCCTTTTGATCCGCAAGATATGGTTTCTGACATACATCAATCAAAGCTCTGGAAAGCTTTTCGGGGACCAGATGGAAATCAGTTCACCTCTCAGACTGGAAATCTGACGTTCGGGATGTTTGTTGATGGGATAAACCCTTTTGGGAACAAACAAAGTGGCCGCCATTCGTCCATCACCTTTGTTGTCCTGGTCTGCCTCACTCTTCCGCCACGGGTTTGCTTTTGTAGAGAAAACATATTTCTCGTTGGTATTGCTCCAGGGCCACGTGAGCCATCTCTCGAACAGATGAATTGGATCTTGAGGCCTGTAGTCACACAGCTGAAAGAGCTGTGGAATCCAGGCCTTTCCCTTTCTCGAACACGGCTATATAAAAAAGGACGACACATAAGGGTCGCTCTACTACCTTTTATAGCAGATATTCCGGCGGTTCGGCGTTCTCTTGGCTTTCCTAGTGCAACTGCCACTCATTTTTGTTCATTTTGTCTACTCCAGAAAAAAGATATCAAAAACTTCAATCAAGCAGTGTGGCCTTTAAGTACATGTGAGCAGCACCGACTGTGGGCATATCAAGCACGAGACGCCTTGACTTCTGAAGAGCGTTCCGAAATATTCAAAAGTCATGGTGTTCGTTATTCGGTTCTTCTAGAACTAGAATACTGGGATATCTCCAAGTATCACGTTGTCGATTCTATGCATAACTTATTGCTCGGCCTGCTTAATTGGCACTGCCGAAGATTCTGGTCGATGAAAGACGAGAAGAACGAAGAGGAAGAAGCCCCGGCTATCAGCACCAAGGAATTAATGAGCCTACTCGCCGAGCACTCTCAAACACAACATAGTCCAAAGCCCTCGCGCAAGGCACCCCCCGTGGAGGATAAGGACTCAGACCAAGAGAACATATTGGATGAGTCCTTCAATGATGACACTGCTTCGAGTGATCCCGAATTTAATCCCTTTGCTGACGCTGAGTGGAGTGGAAAATGGATGCCACCGCCCTCTGATGAGATCATCTTGGATAGTACAATGCTACACAAGATAAACCTTCTGCTTCCAAGAATTTGTATTCCAACATGGATCAAGCAAGCTATTCCTGTACTTGGTAAAGCTTCTTTTGGTAAACTGAAAGCTGATGAATGGCGAAACCTGTTCACCATCCAATTGCCACTCATCCTTATCCCTCTCTGGTCTGGGCGCGATCACATCAAAACATCACTCTTAAAAAACTTTTGTCATTTGGTATCCCTTGTCAATTTAGCTTTAAAAAGGGAGCTCAATATGGACATAATATCACGATATCGCCACCACATCCAACAGTACCTGGAAGGATCTATTGAGATGTTTCAGCATTGTCAACCTGCTCCGAACCATCACATGGCAATCCACTTAGCCGACTGTCTTGAAAACTTTGGGCCAGTTCGCTCTTGGTGGTCCTTCCCATATGAACGCTTGATGGGTAATATCATCAAGGGTACTCATAATAATCACCAGGGTTAGTCTATCTTCTCTTCTCATTCATCCAAATGTTATGATCAATGTTCATTTCGTATCTAAATATGCAACCTTTGAATACATCTGTAGGGGAATTGGAGATCATGTTTGTCAAAAACTTTTGTCGCGCGGGGAATCTCTCTGTACTCTTACAAGAGGACAAACTCCCAGAATCTCTTAAACCTTTCAATTCACGAGTACAAGCTTATTTCGAGCCCAAGAAGCCTTCTCAAAAGAAGGCTTCCAACTCCAAGCTTCAAGCATTGGACAATAAGTCTTTGACGCTTCTCATTCAACGGTTGAACAAACAGGCGACCAAGCACTGTAAATGGGTGGCTCCCGATCTATGGGTTTTGTACACAACAGACGGCTCCGCTGGGTTTGCGGTGTGTCCTGCACGCGCTATGATTCACAATCATGTGTTGCATAAAGAAGTGACCTTTTCCACCGTCAAAGCTAATATGAATAACAGCATAATTGCATTCAAGTCACAATCAACCAGTATGATGCAATTTGCACGAATTTCCAGTATCTTCACCCACCGCAGAAGCCCACAACCAGAAGAACAAGTCATTGAAACGTGGCTTCGCGTTCAAATATTTCCATCTATCAAGGAAGGAGTTTACAATCCATTCACACATATCAGGGAACCTGATGTGCAGACACACTTACGGATGTGGTCAACAAATGCTGAAGAAGTCATTCGGTTGGATGAAGTGATTGCACACTGTTCGTGGTTGATGTATCAACCGGGGGAGCTTCATAAAGACCTCAAACTCGCTACAATTGCTTTAGTATGTATGGAACGCTAATAGCACATAAAGAATAACAAATTTTTATCTTGAAGCCTGCTTCTTGTTCCCATTATCTTCTTTAAAGCGAAAGTACAACTTGTATATGATCATTTAAAAAGAATCTACAATTGGAATCAGCCTGCTTCTTGTTCCCATTATCTTCTTTAGAGCGAAAGTACAACTTGTATATGATCATTTAAAGAGATTCTACATTTGGAATAAGCCTGCTTCTTGTTCCCATGATCTTTCAAGCTTTCGAGCAAAAGTACAACTTATATGATAATTTAAAGAGAATCTACAATTGGAATTAGTTGAGATAGCACACTTTGGGGCTTCATTTCCAACTGACTGCGTTCCAGACGCGAAAGGGTCTGTAGCCACTCTTGTGAGTAGCAATCGACAGAAAGACCTATAGGTGCATTAGCATCACTTATGCGTGCATTTTGACATCGGATTCTGAGTCGAGACGGTCGGCCAGTAGGAGATGGTGTACTGCCTGTTGACCTTCTCCTTTTCGGTGTGCTAGCTTCGATTTTTGATTTGTACGAGTCCAAGCGTGTGAAAACATGTTGTGAGGCTGAACTACGCCACCTCAGTTTTCGGATATGAACAGCAGAAGAAACATGTGTGGCTATTTCATCCTGACAGTCCTCGTGATCCGTCTCATCATCGCTACAGCAATCTTGAACCATAACCGAAAGTGGCCATAAAGCTTGTTTTGAGAGCACAATCTTCTCCCGCGACTTTTTCAGCTGTTTTATGTGCGGAAAGAGTGTTTTTTCATTCAGTTTTACAAAGTTGAGATGTGACGGAGTCACAGCCTCTAACACCTTCAATGAAGCTCACATATCGTACTCGTGCGTTCCGCCTAACCGCATCAGCAGCTTTCTTTTTTTGTGCTTCATCCCATCTCTGTTCACGAAATCTGGAAGTGATTCAAGCCCGCTCGATCAAATGAGCAACAGAATCAGTCACAATGTGGACTTCCAAAGGTAAACTTTATACCACTTACCGTTTCATAAGAGATTGAACACGTGTTTCAAAAGCCTTTTTGATTGAAGAAATGTTTGGAGCATCAAGAGATATCCCGACATACTCACCACACTCCACCAATTTGATAAAAATCTTGAAGGCTAAATCCCACAGCCACTTGTTGTCTTTTGAAGTTGGCGCTTGACCGAAATCTGGTCGAAAGCTTGATACCCCTACAGCGAGCATCATCTGTTGCATGATAGAAATTTGCTGTGGTGTTGAATCTTTATGCCGTGGCCCGGAATAATCAGTTGAATTGAGATCGGGTGGTTCCATAGTTTCGTCTAGAACATCCAAATCGAAATTCACGAGTCCGATCTCCAAGTCAGACATCCAGGACTCTTTTTCATTGAGTGTGGCAGGCGCAGGGAGTGAGGGACTGCTTTCTTCTAGACCTAAAAGAGTATCTATATGAAAACGAACGGATAACTGCGTGACAGGCATGAATATTCCAGCAGCTATATTCAATCTTGATCAGTGTGAGATACAAATGTTCTTACAGAAATACGACCACCCCGTGTTTTCTTCTTTTTCGCCGAGACTTGCTCCTCATCTATGTTGTTCTGAGTCACTTGGTTCAATATCCTAACCTCTTCAGTCAATTTTTCAAGTCGCTGGTTAGTCTTGTTCAGAGCATCTCGTAGTTCATCTAGTCATTGAATGATTCAAAGGTGAGTCAATAAAACAAAACTACAATGTCATAGGCAATGATTTGAGAAGCAACTTACGAATCATCTCGAGCATACTTTCCCGACTCTGATCATCTCCTTGGTTTTGTTTCTCGGATTCAGACATTGATTTTGGACTCGCAGCCTTGCGTGGGTGTTTTTTTGCGCTTTTGCGTGATGAATTTGATTTACCAGTTCCTTGCTGCATTTGAAATCGACCCTTAGAAGAACCTTGGTAAGTAGGCTGAGCTGAATCATTGGTATCGCTATCCGCCTCCCCCGCCAGTAGATCGGAACCTTCTAAATCAGACTCTTCAGCATGAAAAGATGGATCCCAGTCATGATCATCTGGATCATCTTCCTCTCGCGACTTTCCTTTACCCTTGGAGGTAGCTGAGTTTTGGTGTGACGTTAATACGGTTGGAGGGGGTCGTGGGTAGGACAGGCGCCCGTGTTCCAGGCTGGGTAGAGGTATTTCTGCATCGGGCAAAAATTAGGAATGTGACAGAGTGGATAAGGTGAATAACGTTTTATACAACATTTACAAACTTCATAACTTACCTTCCGGAGCTTTGTGAACCGGCGATCCAATGGTAGCCCAGCCTTCTATTTGTAGAATCTTGTGATCTCTATTGCCAACATCTGAATCACCCCGCGTAATAGGAGGTATATTGTCACGATCGAGTGTCGAATCTTGCGTTTGTACATCGTCATTCATATTTGAAGGTTGCGTGTCAGGAGGTGAAGAAGGTAAAGGGAGACTTTTGGGATCGGAGGTTGAATCTGAAAAGTTTTTAATTGTCATAAGCTTGATCTATGACTTCATACTGACATAGCCAATTTACACACCTGCCGGAACAGCTATAGGCACACTTCTTTTACCTGACTTGGTGGTTTCATCAGCAATTGATTCGCCTATAATTTGAAACATGTAAGCCAAGCACAATACAGAGAAGTCTCAGCACTTACCGTCCAAAGGAGCGTGCCGTGATGTCCTAAATGTGAAGGAGGGTAAAACGGGGGGTAGAACAACTAACCAGCGAGTGAGTTGTATAGCTCCTGAACATGTATTTTGAGCCGAACAATTCACTTACTCAAGTCTTGGTAGGTTTTACATGTCTTGATCAGTTCCGCTCTTGGTAACCCATCAGCATCTAGCCCAACATCGCCAACCAGTTCCCGTAGCTGCTGATCAGTGTATTGATCATAATCCACGTCTTGTGGCCTTGGAGCATAGGTATGATCGATTTCGGAAGGTGAAATAGGAGGTCTCTTCCTGATGGGTCTGTGTGATTGCTTGACCGTCTTCTTCTTGCCAGGTTTCTTCAACGCTCTTGCTTTCTTCTTGATTATATGCTGATCCAGAAGCTTCAAGAGATTTCCGCGCGGCGTTTCCAAAGGGGTTTCCGAATTCACAACGTCCTGAACACTTCCACACGCCTCATCATCAACGACCTCTGTTGTCCAACAAAAGGTTATCAAATTTCAGCAAAGATTTTAGAGAAATAATTGATTATACACACATGTGACTTACTTTCTTCTTCGATTGGGATTGCTCGCTTCCTTGACTTTGTAATATCATTTCCAATATCTTTCGAAGCAGTGTTATAACTGCGTAGTACCCGACTTCTGAGATTTGCCACGGATCCCTCGGCCATCGGTCATACAATACATACAGTTGTATCAGTAACAAACGGACAGATGGGAAAGTGATGCGAAGATACTGCACAATTCTGGGCGAGGACTAGGGATGATTGATTGACAGTGATAAAGAGAAATCTGCACAGCGGATGGAAGAACTGAAAATCTGAACGAATGGAAAGTCTATCTGGTTATAACCAGCAGATAGATGAGAAAGGGGTGCAAAGATAATGCACAACTATGTGTGAAGAACAATATTTTAACAATCAAGGGAAATCGGGCCAGCCGGTTAAAGAAGTAAATGTCTAGATGGAACTTCCGATATTTGAGCTGAAGCAATAAAATATTGAGGCAAAAGGGGGCTATGTTATCAAGACCGATTTGTCTTATGTTGAGGTTTGGAGTGAGTTCACTCTACGGCTAGTCAACTTTATGATTATTTGGGGGACACCATGGACAAGATTTGTGAAGAGTGCATCAGCATGGCAACAACCTTGAATGTGAAGTAAACCCACAGGTGCTCACCAGGCCTGGATCCATTGACCAAAGAATCGATGCCTTTCATCACAGTCACCAAAGCTGGGAATAATGCGGCATTTTCTTAAGGACACAGGGTATCAATGGTTGTTAGTATACAAAATAAGATGCCCTTATTATTTTATTGGCAGCCGTAGGTATTTCACAAATCACTACACCTTTTCTGAGTCGGTACAGAATGATCATGAAAAAAATCAGATTATTTGTATCATCTTTCCTACAATCGGGCTTGCTTTTTATGAAATTAATCTCACATGGGGAGCAAACAGTATCATGATGACAATCTGAGATGATGACTCCCCTTGATAGAGGGTAGTCTTGTTGGTTGTAGGTATCAATGGGGGACCGGTGTTTGTCATTAGCGCTCATGCATTAACTGATACAGAAAAGATCATCTAAGTACAAGAATCTTCGCAAGCTTTGGGAAGATGAAAGTGTTTGTCAAAGTCGATCAACTTGAGTAAGAAAATTCAATTGGAGGTGGGGATCATGTGATCTTTAACCCTACCAATCTTCAATATATAAAGCAAAGATGATTCGGCTTGATCCATGATACGTTTTCCAATTGCTACATCACGCTCCTCACAAGATGTCTAGTTATATCCATCCATTCCATACTCGTGTTTTTCTACCAAAGTATTTCTTCGACTTTATGTTTCGTGAGGGTGATATCAATTCCAAGCCTGATCCCCAACTTTTCCTAAGTGAAGCTTCAACCTTTCAAGTATTAGAAATAACCCGTTTGCTCTGCCCTTATATCAGATTCAGCGCGGAGGCAGAAGACGATAAATCATTTGTACACAAGCTATTTCTCCAGATGATAGCGCCTCATCTTTCTACTTTAATCATCCCAAAAGGCCTTGGACCCGATCAACACTACCTTCAAGCATTGATTGATGTTCCAGTTGTTGGATCACCAGACTGCGAGATCTTTATGTCCCCTGCAACCATTATCGACTCTGATCGCATTCGCCGGTTCAATTGCTTGATTCTCTGCTACCTTAAGAATGGCCAACATCGTCTTGCAGCAGACAACCTTACCGACTTTGTCAAGGTTCACAAGTATCTCAACGACAGTGAAATCTCGACCATTGCTTCTATTTATGAAGAAGCTCTAGATGGCCTTCACGAATCTGTTGGCGCCATTCAAAACTCACATTGCGAGATCGAGGGGATTGGTTTTCAATCATCTGACTCTGAGATCTCACAGACCCACCGACAAGAACTTCAACTTTCTCTTGAAGCTGCAACCGCGAGACTGCAATCTCGTCAGAAGGCCTTCGATTCCATTGTTCAGGGTGTGGGATTCCTTCAAGCATTGTCGAAGTATCACAAGTAAGTCACAAACTTTGATATTACTATTCCGAATAAGTATGAGTTCTGTAAGTATTCTAACTTGTGATCTTCAACCCAGAAACTTGGCGTTAAAAAATAAACCCTCCCCTCCTGAATCGTCTTGAACGATTCCTTTCAAATATTCTGCGGTGTTGTGCACATCATTCTGGTAAGAGATGGATACTGTCAAGGTGCTTATCATAACATGAACTGATCAAATCCTTTTGTTCAAAATTCATTCCAAGTTGCAGGTATAATCTTCATACCACAACATTTGAATACATGACTACATATCGAAATCTGACCAGTTACCGTTGTATCAACTACCTTCTCTAGTATGTAGAGTTGTTAGATCCAAATTTTTCTTGAACTGTGTGTTACGCGAAGAAACTAAGAGAACTAGCAGTTTACTCAAGGACCGGTATTGAAGATTAAACTAGTAGTATATATTTTATCATGAGTTCACTTTACAAGTAGTTTTGCAAACCTCTATTATTCAAGATCACAAATCAATTATTGTTCAAGACAAAGCTTTGTACCTGAAATATGTCCTGAAGGTTGCTATGACTTGTGGACCTTTATTCTATATATCTCCGTTGTATCTTGATCTTATACTCTTTTTCTTCATCGGAATTATTATTATCCTTCTCTTTTCTACACCGCTGTGGCAGAAAAACAACGTTGTAGCCTTGTAGAGCTCTGCTCTGAGTTCTCATCTTACAGGTTCTCCGTTCTGAGAACTGTAGCAAACTTGTTTGTTTTGACTACAACCCAGATCATCACAGAATATAAGTAAAATACACGCCCGATGTCATAAAGCTTGAGTGATCTTTCACGGGTGTGATTGTAGTGTCACCTCACGGGGTCGTGAATGCAGGTTTTTACTGAGCCTCACAACACTCAAAGCAGTCTCTGACACAAGTATACACGTGGAAGTGTACTGTTGTAGTTTGCTAAATTTGGATAATTCACTACATTCAGGAAACCAGAATATGTAGATGATACATAGTTTTCTATGTCAGTCAGAATTTTCTAAACCGTACGGAAAAGATGCACTTTGGTGTAGTGTTACTTCCCATAATGTTGGTGAATTAGTTGACGCTCCTTCAGAAGCTAATGTTATAGGAGGAATGTGGCGTTTGAAACGAAAACGTGACGAGCACGGAAATATCATCAAATACAAGGCCAGGTGGGTAGCTCTAGGAAATCATCAGATATGGGGTGTAGACTACGACAAAACTTTCGCATCTGTCGTCCAATCAGATACAATGAACATGCTTTTCTCTCTGTGTGCTTCCGATGATTGGGAAATGGAACAATTCAATATCTGTACCGCATTTCTCAATGGAAGAAACAAAATCCCTGTCTACACAAGACAAGTCCAAGGCTTTTATAATCCTACATTTCCGAAGAAAGTCTGGCTACTCAAACAATCCATTTACGGTACAAAACAAGCACATCGCGAATTTAACACTGATCTTGAAGAAAAACTGAGAAGCATTGGTTTCACTCCTTACAAAGACGATAACTCACTGTTCACCTTTCGAAGAAATGACGAAATCATACACATCCCAATGTTTGTTGATGATGGACTTGTATTTTCAAACTCAAAATCTTTGATCAAAGAAACCAGAGAAAAATTAGAAAAATTATATAAGCTCGTATGGACCACCGAACCCACACTACACCTTGGCATCAAGATCACACAAGACCGAACCAACCGGACAATACATCTGTCTCAGGAACACTACCTCAAGAACGTCCTTGATTGCTTCGACATGACGCACTGCAACACCACACTTACACCTCTCCCTACCTCTGCTGATCTCACTCCCGGTACAAATGAAGAAATCGAAGATGTGGCGCACCTACCGTACCAACAAGCCATTGGTTGTCTTAACTGGGCCGCTGTCCATACTCGTCCCGACATACAGTATGCTGTCTCCATGTTAGCTCGATTTTTGTCTAAATATACGTACCGTCATTGGAAAGTTGTAAAACACCTTTTTAGATATGTTCAAGGTACTTTGGATCGCGGTATAATTTTCAAGAAACACAACACTCCATCAACGGAACTACGTGCTTATGCTGATGACGATTATGCAGCCTGCACTGAGACACGTAGATCTACAACTGGATATGTATTCACACTAGGTGGATCATTAATTAGCTGGAAAAGTCGACGACAACCCACAGTTGCTCTCTCCACCACAGAGGCAGAATATATGGCTCTCGGTGACTGTGCAAAACACTGCCTGTGGTTTAGAAGAATGATATCACATCTAACCCAGACCCCCGTTCCAACCTCTCCAATTTCTCTTCCACCACTTAGCGTATTTAACGACAACAATGGTGCCGTATTTTTACCTCAAGAGTCAGCTACAAACAGTCGATCAAAACACACAGACATAAGACACCATTTTATTCGGGATCCAATTTCCTCACATCAAATCCCCACACATATGATCGATACAAAATTGATGCCTGCTGATTTCCTCACAAAAAATGCCCCAAAAGAAATGCTCAATCGATGCCGTTTTCTCATTGGCAACGTAAACAACAACGAAGTTAACCTCATCTCTACAAACTCACTTCCTGTACCTGCAAAAGTATCGAGCAAGGGGGGATGTTGATACCTAAGTATGTATCACAGATACTCGACACTTCCTTTCAGTATTCAGTACTCAGACTTGATGCTCAAATGCTGAGTCTTCCTCAAGCTCATTTGTAAGAATCTGTTTCTGACCCTTTTCCTCAGTCCAGAATCTATTGTATATAATGTATTTAGTTCGTGTTTTATCATAAAGCATAATAATAATCACTATCAAATTTATCCACATATATTCTTACTCTTCGGAGTACTCTGTGAGACTTTTGATTTCATCATATATTCCCAGTCGAGTGATATCTGCTGGATCGGCTATTTCACTCGCGTTACACGACGCTTTACACTTATAGATGTCTCATTTTTGTTTGAAGCATACACACAATTTCAGGCTCAGCTGATGCTTAATAGAGAACAAACCCGCTGGCTGTTTTTAATTCCCGATATTAGGATATCTATCTAACAAGAACTTTCACGATCACACAAATCCTTACACATTGCCAAGCTCGATCAACAACTATAGCAAGTGAGGAATATTATCGTTCAACCCTGATGTCCAACATCGTTACTACCATGATGATCAGACATCATATTGGTCAAATCCAAGCATAGTTCTCAACTCGATGAAGCGCGATATCAAATTTAATCGATCTTCCTATGTATGAAAGCCTCAAGAGTACTCAGGAGTATGCTTCCGACGATATTGATTACTATTCGAGTCTTCCAAAGCCTTCTGAAAACTTGACTACCTGCTATCCAAATTCTTCGACCTGTCAGCCTACCATGCACTATTTTGAACACAGTTCTTATAATTGGTCTTCAATTGAGCTCGAACACAGCGCTGCTTCAGTTGGGTTATATATTCAAACCACGAGCTTCCCACTATCCATTCTGGCCTTTTGGCTTAGATCAAGTGTAGTATCTGTTCTTATCAGTGTAATTACTGGTATTGGTTCATCGAACCAATCAATTAATTACTCTTATCTTTGAATGCCCTTGACCGCTCACTGGCTTGCCAGCGTGGCTGAGACGATGGCCTTGGGCTCACACTACCCCCTTGTGCTGTCAGGCAAAACCTCTTTTTTGCCAGTTGTATGTATCAAACACTGATCATATTTGTCTCAACACCTCAAGAAAGTCTTGACACATCTCCACCTGATCTTATAACAGCACTTCACACTTCATCAAGCTAAAAAAATGTCTGATATGGTTGATGACAGCAAGATTCAGAACCAACAATTTGAGCATTTTTCAAAAATTCTTCCACAAGTTGCAAAACTTGTTTACAAAACAAATCAAGATAATTTTGAGGTTGTCTTGTTGAGGTTTATCCAAAATTATCCGCAGAGGAACACATATCATAAGTCCTATCTTTTATTAACTTTTATAAGACTGATTAACTTAGTTTTTTGTTGCCGTAATTCCAAAAATTGGTCTGTGGTTTCATGCTTCTTGCTGTTACCAACCATACTTATGATCTCAAGGCAAGGCTTTGATGTCTGAGTTTGGATCTTAATTCTTGGTACAGGAAAGGAAATACAATTTGACATGTGCCAAATAAGATTATTGTAATGTAATATATGTTACGGCTGAGGTGACAACTAGGCATTGAGTCTAGTCTAATCTGTTTTTGGTTTAGCCCAGGTGAAAGATCTAGGAATGTTAGATTGGGGCTGGTTTCATCTTACCAGGATCTGGTAGTGTAGATCACCACATCTAACGGAAAATGTTGGTGTAGATGGATGAAAAAGTTACGCTACAAGCCTCTCTAACACTTTTTTTAGCGTAATTTGTCCAGCGTTGCCATGGGGAGAACTTCAAGCAATCAGACTTGATCCAATGAGAGGTCCTGTTTCCCAAGGAGGACTGCAGCTTTTGCTATCAAAAGGTATGTTTTGTTTGATCACTGTTGAGGATCTGGAATTGATAATTATCCATATTGTCTTCAGATATTGACTTTAGGAGGCTTTAGATAGAGGGTGTATCAAGTGGAATACTAGACAGCTTCCCTGAGAATGATTGTGAGTGCTCTAATATTTGTTTGCTTCATGTTTTTCTTCCCTATGAGGCACTTGAAGCTAATTTAAATGGGTCATATCATAGATGTTATGGAAATTCTCAAGCCGGTTGAGTTGATTGTAAACATCAGAAATAAACTCCAGCTCTCTGAAGCACTATCACCTACCTTGATAGAAATAGATGACTCCTTGATTCAAGGCAGCTCTTTATCAAACCCAGCTATTGTCAAGTCATTGACATTGAAGTCTATGCAGCACATGAATGAAAAGACTACTTCAACTCAAGAAACTCAATGCTTGTTTTGCGTATTGCAGCATCTATGGACTTTCTATCCAAATTCAAGGAGGTGTATAAAGACCAATGTGGAAACATCACCATTTTGAACAGATTTCAAAGATAATCCAATGCCAATCTAAATTAAAGCCTCATATTGAAACATACCTTGAGGGAGGGGATATTGATCCTTACATGGCAAATCTTTTTTTAAGTCTCAACTGTTGGAATCTCTGTCTAGATTTCCTCAAAGACCGCCTTCATTTATTGCATATCCAGGACTCTGCATTGGAAGGGGGACAGGCAGAGAGATATGGTCTGGATATCAAAAAAAAGGAAAAGTATCTTTTTGATCAAGATACTTTCATTAGCTTGATGGTTATAGAAAAGACTGATTATCCGGAACTTGGAAAACATTTGGATAGTCAGTTGGAAATGGATAGTAAGTGTTTCTTATTCCAGCCCCAATCTTACAAAGAATACCTTACAGCAAGATTTGGGTCAGCCAATAAAAGATATCATTCTCTGGCACCAAAGCTGTTGAATTTCTCAAAAATCAAAATTTTTTCCCAAGCAGATATCAGCAGAAGACTTTGATAGCATCAAGAGACAGATTTATTTGCTGATTTAATGTTCAATGGATGGCTGATCAAGTTTTTCCTTATGTATTTGTAGACAAAATTGGACACTACAAATTCAAATCAAATATCTTGCTTCAAATTGTGGACGCATGGAAACAGCCCCTCAATCAACATGTGGAAGCTGGACGTTTACAAAAATCAACCAGTCAATATGTGTCACCTTCAATGGTTATACCAAAGAAAGATCTTGTGGTGTTACCAAGGTGGATTTGTGATTATAGGGTCCTTAATAAATATACCATTAAGGACAGAGAACCATTGCCCAATCCTGATGAAGCTGTGAGGTTGGTGGGTAGTGGGAAGATTTATTCATCATTAGATAAAATTAATGTGTTCTTCCAGACTCAAATGGCGGAAAAAGATACTCCTTTGATGGCCGTGAAGACTCCCTGGGGGTTGTACAAATGGGTAGTCATGCCCATGGGACTTACCAACGCACCAGCAACTCAACAAAGAAGGTGCAAAGAAGCTCTAGGTGATTTAGTGAATAAAGTATGTGTTGTGTATATTGACAGTATTGTGGTTCTCTCTCAGACAGTAGAGGAACACAAGCATCACCTGCGGGAAGTACTGCGTTGCCTTTGAGCAGCAAATCTCTATTGTGGAATTGAGAAGACACAATTATTCAGACGGGGGATCGATAAGATTGGCATATTTTTGAGAAATGCCCCAGCAGATCTCACGCCATTTCTTCAACTTTGGATGTAAGTCCCTCGCTGGAGTTGGTGGTTAGGTCTGGCAAGGGACTTAGTTAAGTTTGCTGTTTTTTGTGAGGTTTGAGTTCTTTTGATTGCTTGAGATCTGTTAAACTTCTTGGTAAAGTCACTGAAATGCTTATAAGACTAATACTCTACAGAAATCTTGGGTATTATTGGGGCTGACATAGACAATTCTTTGTTTTAAGCCCTTATTGTGGCACTACAATGCTCCCACAGAATATTCAAGCACTGTAGGGGGTATCCAAGACCCAACAGCAGCTGGTTACAAAAGAAAGAAATTGTAAAATTTGCTGAAAAGTTAAAAAAGTTTTTAAAAAAAAGTTGTAAGTCAAGCAACCAATCAAGGAGCAGCTGTATAAAAAAATCAAAATCAAAATCAAATTGTTGTATATAATATTTAGAACTCATAATTCAATAGATTTGATTATATGATGATGATACAAAATCAAATGAAAGTGAATAAGATTAAGATTTTTTCTTTTTGGTATCATCAACAAAGACAATATTTTCATCAGGAATTTTACCATTTCCAATTAAATCAGCAAACTTTCCAGTAGTTTCTTCAAACAAATCTAAAACCTAAACAAACCCCCCACCGAAGAAAAAAATTCAATCAATTCAAATTAAATTAAATTTCAATATTTTCCCTTTTTTTTATTAGTTTTTTGGCGGGGGATTGGAACTTACTTCATCAGATACATCACCTTGGATTACAATCTCATCTTCTCCTTGATTGTTTTTGGTCACTGATGCTCCAGTAGCAAATTTAGATGCAAATAACTTAGCTAATTTCTTTAAATCAACACCTAAACCAAATTCCAACCCCCCAAAGACAAAACAAAGTAAAGCTTCAATATCTCAAATCCAGATCCAACTCGAGATTAGAAAAAAAGAAAGACAAAAGATTCACCAAAAGCTTCAAGTCCATGAACGGTAGTGATGCGTTTCCTCTTAGTTCTTTCAACCGTCTTAACAGTCACTTTAGAAGCCAAGGTTTTTTCCTTTAATCTAACCAATCTAGCTTCTTCTTTAACTTCTTTCTTCAAGGCTTCTTTATTTAATTTCTCAACTTCTTTTAACCTCTTTTCTCTTTCTTCTATAGATAGATTTGATAATTGTGATTCTAATTCGATTAGGTCTGGATAAAGCAGTTTGTATTGAATTGGATTTGTTTCTGAAAGCCATGTTTTACATCTATGATCGATTTTTCAAAAATTCCGTTAGTTTTCTATTTCCCATGGGGTTTTTGGCTACGGGAGGGGTTGGGTTTGGTAGTTACTTTGATAGTCTTGTTCCGAATTCGCAATATTCGATTGGAAATGAGCAAACTAGAATCAGAATCAGAATCAGAATTAGAATTAGAATTAGAATTAGAATTAGAATTAGAATTAGAATCAGATAAGTTGATGATGATTTGTTGTGATAAATGAGAATGAGTTAACTTACTTTTACAATATAAGATTTGATTGAGGATGACTGGTTCTAGTGTTGGAGTGGATTCAGTCATTTTGTTGGTAAACAGTCTTGATTGAAAACCAAATCGAAAGCACCGAGTTTGATCGGGGTAGAGTGTGAAATCGAAAGTGACATGTTGGCTGATAAGACTGTCACTGAGACTGTCACTGAGACTGTCACTGATAGCACTCTGAGTATCTCTCATCATCATCGATCACTTCAACTTCAACAATCACAATTCATCAAAGTAAGTTCATCATCTCATCATCATCATCATCAACTAAATCTAATCAAACTCTTTCTATACACAGATGACCGAACACCAATCCAAACCATTATCATCAAGAGAAGATGTATTATCATTCCTCGACGATCTAGACTCATTCACTCCAACCTCTAAGTCCCAAACCCAAACTCAAACCAACCCAGGAACGAGCAATCCAGGACTCACCAATCCCTCAAGTCCAAATCCCAGTCAAAACCTAAACCTCAACCCAAACCATCCTACAAGTTCAAGTTCTAAAACAGAAGATGCACAAAGTGTATTAGATTTCTTAGATGAAATCACCCAACGTTCTTCTACTCCAACGGCTAGTCTTCAAACCAAGAAACTAACCACCACTCATCCTCATCCACTTTCACGAAAACCATCAAGTTCTTCATTAACTTCACCCCCACCAAACTCATCCCAACCCCGTAAATCAACCGAATCCAATCGACCTCTTCCCACTGAAACTGGATCTGGATCTGGAGTAGTAAGTAGTGGTGGTGGTTGGGGATGGGGATCGGTATTGAAACAAGCTACTTCAAATGTCTTGAATCAAGCTATCAATGCGGCTGGGCAAGTTCAATCGGTGGTAGTAGATCCTTCTAAATCTTCGGATTTGGTTAAACATTTTAATGATAATCTACAACACCAATTAAATGGTCAAACCGAAACAGCAAGGAAATGGAAAGAAGGGATGATGGGATATGTGAAAGCAAGTGGGATTGATCAATTAAGTGTGTACAGAGACAAAATCCTTGAAACCATCAAAAAGAAGCTTTTTTTAGGATTTAATAGGATATACTAAATCTACCCTTTTTCTTTCTTGGGAACTTTTTTTCCTTTTTTTTGGTAGGTAAAGATTTACAAGCTACTGGTTTGAAATCTTTAACAGAGATTATGAATACGGTGGTACCACCTATTTCAGAACATGAAATCATTGAAGTTCAATTATCATATGATATGATAGGATATGATGGAATCGAAACACTTGTTTATAAATCATTATCAAAGGTCAGTAGTAGAAGAAAACCGAGTTTCAAAGTCCAAAAGACTAAAACCCCCGTAGAATTTTACTAATGATGATGGTTTTATATCATTCATAGATTATGGAACAAGTAGATGGTGGCGATTTAGTTTTGAATAAAGGAGAAGAAGAAAAACCAAAGGAAAGAAATTCAGATGAACCCGAAAGAGATTTACAAGCGGTTTATGGGATGACCGAAGGTTATAAATTAGCTCTGGTGAGTCCTTTAAATCCTCCAAAGAGAAACAAACCGCCAAAACTTTCTATATTTTTTTCATTGGATTTCTTAATTTCGATTTTCTTTTTTTTTGGTAGGCGAATTTAGAACAAATGATTAAAAGAAAAACTCAAACTGATTTATTAAAGTCAAAACCCGAAGAATCCGAACCTATTAGCTCAGATTTACCGATCACCAAATCATCCGTTTATATACGAATCCAACCTATCCTTTCACGTTTACCAGGTTTAAGTCCTTCTTCATCAAGTATGACTACCAATCCATCTAATCAAATTCAAGATGGTGCAAAAGGTATCGGTGTGATGGAAGAAGATCATTTGTTCTTTTTGATCTTGCTAAGAGACTTAAATCATTCCATGGATCATGCTACTTTGTGTCAATCTATGCCGGCGGTTTGGCTTCAGATCCCATTTGAAGAAAATGAAGTCAGTTTTTCTTTTCTGACCCTTTTTCGGTCTGTTTTTTGATTTTGATTTTTTTTTGATGGGGGTTTTTGGTTTAGTGGGTTGAAGAAGTTATGGTTGAAGTTCTTCGTAGAGGTATAGAAGTAAGTCTGATTGGTTTTCCCCTCTTGATAACCTGATTTCGTTTCTTATCTCATGATGATCCAAGAGTTAATGGAATCGAATCGATCTGATTTATAAATTTCATCTAGGTGATTGGACAACAATATGTGAATGGTAGATTAAGTGGTAGATCAGTCAAGAATTCAAATCCACCGATTGAAGAGAAAGAGAAAGAGAAAAATGAATCATTAGAGAATGAAAAGAATGATCAAATTGGATTACAAGCCTCTACGAGTTCATGAATGAAAAATGAAGATTTTTGTGAAGGTCTGGTACATACATATATTGGTAGGCTGGTTGTTTTTTGGTTGTTTTTTGGTTCTCTCTGTGTGTGTGTGGGTGTTTTCCTCGTAGGTGATGAGGTACATATTGAGAAATGAAGTAGTAGTTTAAGATATATTTAAGTAAGAATCAAAACTTAGGGATAAATGGATCAGGTTGTATTATTAGTGTTTTTTTCTCTTCATCATTTTAATGTATGTACTTAATCATTTTACTTTTTACTTTTTATTGAGCTTCTTACGTAGATATTAAGACTACTTTGTTATTTTGTTCTTTTTTGTGAGTAAACAGATTTGGAGATTATATTCTTAGTGGTTTGAAGTTCACTGTTTTGTTTTGGAGTGATTGTTAATTGATCTGATAAGCTTATGATGAAAGCTGATGAAAGCAGATGAGTGATGGATTGCTATCCTGTGACGTTGCGCTAGCTGAGCACACGGACATCCCCGAGCTACAGAAGTTGTCACGGGTATGTTCCGATAAGCCCGAGTGCTCAGAAGACGGGGCCATGATAAAATTTCCAAGCCAATCGAAAGTTCTCTCTAGTCCACTTGGTATACAATTCAACAAATCCTTTAATTATGTTCTTCTCACCTTGTGGTCCATCCCAAAGGACCTTCAACTCAAGCTTCAAACGATTTCTATCAACTGCCCCACCGACTACTCGAAAATTAAAAGCTCGACCATTGATTGGTAGATATACAGATAGTTTTCCTTGTGAGTTAGCAAGGGTTCAATCAGGTAGATCAGTCAACCTTCGAGATTATGAAACTCAAGTTAAGATGAAAAGGTTCTCTTATGATTTAAAGTTAAAAGATGGAAAAGTTTTACCTGCTGAAGGTAATCAGTTTATAGGTTAGCCCAAATCAAGTTCTTGATCATCATTCATGGATCTAGATGAAAAAAAAAGGATTTTAATTTTGTATAACTACTGATTGATTGATGGGTTATGATTTATGATACTAATAGGTCCGAATGGATGTTCACTTAGAGAACCATTTTCTCCTACGTTTCAAGAAGTCGTAAGAAACTTTAGAGGTGTTAATATTTTAATTTATATCATTCCAGAAGGTAATCAATCGATACTATGATTAATTCTTTTTCAAATGAAGAACTTAAAACTAAATTGTTTTTCCAAAAATTAGGTACACCATTACCGAAGACATTAACTTTACTTCATGAACATAGTGATCATTTCTCATTACAATGTAGTCAACCAATGACACTTCCAGGTAAATTTATGATTTTTCTTTCGGTCTTCTTTTACTGTTTCAGTTAATCTTGATTCAAACTAATCCTCTTGTTTACATGATTTTTTTTTTCTTCTTATAGAATTGAATGAAGAGATTACAAAGTTTTTGGAACTTCATGCTAGAACGATTACCAAGGAAGAATTTGATGTTGAATATCCATTTGAAATCTAGATCTTGACTTATAAAAAAAAGTGATATAAGATTGCATTTTAATTAATATCTTGGAATGATACTCTAAAGCTTATACCATGACTGACTTGGTTGAGGAGATATTGGAATCTCAGGGGATGAAGTATCGTCTTGTTAATATTGTTTGATTTCACGGGTGTTGAAGTTGTTGAATCATCTGGATTTCCACATAATGACCTCCTCACCAATCTGATTTTCCCAGTTCTTGGGAAATGAGACTGCCTGCAGTCTCATTTGCAAAAACCCAATCTCAAACTCGGAGACATTGATGCCATGCAGTCATGCGTGTGTGTTGGTCATTTTTGCACGTCAAACACTCCAGCCCAAAGGATTCAATGGCTATGTTCGAAAGTTAAAAGCTTGGGTGTTTCAAATTGGTGTTTCTGATTCCTGATGCACATCCTGGATCGATCCGGATTCAATTGATCAATTAAATTGAAATCATCGTTTCTCACCATCGATTTCCTACAGTTTTCGGTGTTGGACAACATCCTATCTCATTGATATCTTCCTGCCTGCATCGTAGCATAGCAGCTTACCAGCTGTCCATTTCAAAAATAATCAACAGCATATTAAATATCAATCTTCTTCCAGATAATAACTAGATTTTTTTCCCTTGGATATCTGATAGATCAATTAAAGATTTAGAATTGGTTTGAGACTCAATTACCATTGCTTTGGTTCATTGGGACCAGTGCTTTCTTGTTCCTTTGTTTGGCTAGAATTTGAATCCCTGCTACATTTTCAACTCCAACTGATGTTGGTCATCCAATAGATTCCCTAGGTTTTTTTCTTGAATCTAACCTGGGTTCCACCTGATTCAACTATCCTCAATAGGAACAGTTTAGATGCTTTGGTAGGAAGTCATATTTGAATATTGACTTTGAATGAAGATTCTGATGACTTTTCACCTACTATATGCCTTCAACATAGGATTTTGTTTATTCCCACTGCCATCATTTTCTTTTTGAAAACACATCCATCAAGTTGGTTCAATATGTCTGATGGCAACAAGTGCAGCCTTGGACACTGATGGTCTTGGTCTTCACTTTCCAGTTTTAATGCAGCATCCAAATGAACCAGAGAGGCCAAAAATTTACACATGCTGGCTTTGTGATGGAAAGGAAATGAAGGATTACCGCTGCCATTTGAAACTTGCAAACCATCAGGGTAGAGTGGCAAATTATCGCAAGTCTCTGCTTGATGCAGGTGCCAATGTCACTTTCAACACCATGTCACAGGGAGATATGAATGTATTTGAAGGTGATGAAAGGTATCAAGCGCTCATAAAATCTCCAACAGTTGATGATGATATAGACATAGGGTCTATACTCTCAGAAGATTCAGATGGAAGTGATGAACTCAAAGGAGAAGATGATCTATCAGATGATAGTTGGGGAGATGAAATTCTTTTGAATGCAATTCATAAGAAGGATTCAAGTGATGATCAAGCAGTGTATCAACCAGAACCAAGCACAGATACCAACATTTGTAGTGTGTGGATCAAGATGCTGGGAAACTGTTTCCCTCTCTCCAAGAAAGAGGTAAGAGGTCTTTTGGATATACCTCCTTCTTCTGGCCAAAAACAGAACAAACCAATGACACAACAATGTGATCACTTTGTCTCTTTAGGATGCTATTGCACTTGTGTCTTTGGGGGGCACACACCTGCGTTTTGCAAGAGCAATATAGGGCTATTAAAATGGATTATGAATTTTTGAAAACCAATTTGCCCAATTGGTCCACTTTGTCTTCTTTTCAGCAACACATGAAGGAATTGATGGGATTTAAGGTTTGTAATTTTGTTTCTACCTTAGGGAAACCCTGTTCCACATTGTCAATTGCGGAGCACCTGGCTCTGGTCAGTCTGGGATTTCGACTGCTGGTTTGGGTGGTTTCACATTCAAAGGATAACTGGCTGATTTCTCATGCAAAAATCCTTTGCACTCATGCAGAACCTTTCCAATCCCAAAGTGGCCAAGTATGTACAATTTGTTCCTCAAAGGTGTTCCAATGGGCTGGTTTGTGAATTTAGGGAGGGTGACAAATGGCCATTCTGGATTGGAAGCTGACCTAACAGCACCAATGCTACACACTCATCATGGGCATTTCTACTTATATGAGCCTCTCCATCTCAAGAATGGAAGAGTGGTCACCCCCACTCACTTTTATTACTTGGACAACATCTTAATGGCAAAAGTTCTCCCAGTGGGAATTAGAGAATTTGCAAACTCTTCCTGCTTGATACAGATACCAAAAGGAAACAATTTTCACCTTATGGAAGCAGTTGCAGTCAAAACTTTTGATGTACCTCTTGATCAAATGAAAACAACCCATGGTTTGGTGCTCCAAAAGCATTGTGGGGCTTGCATGTACCATAAGTGTGGTTGAATATTCTGAACCAGACTATTGGAATTTGCAACAGAAATTGATATGTCTGCCCCTGTGATGAACTAATTTGACCAGAGCAAGATCATGTGTACGGGCCACAAAAAGTCATCTTACTTCCAAACCCTTGGCGGGTTAAAGCTCAGGGATGTGTCATTGGCCACCTTCCACTGACATTGTATAGTGAGGACACTTCTGGTAATATCAGCAAACAATGGAACAAGCACATATCATACTACATAAATATGTCTGGCCTGTCTGAAAAACTCATTCATCTTGACTTCAACTTTATTTATTGCAACATCAAACACAGCTTCTGCTCTAGAGCTTGGTGATCATGTTGTGGATCAGCTAAAGTATGTACCTCTGAAACACTAGGTGATTGTGGTTTTTATACACCAATGCCTGATTTCCTCCATATTCCAGCACTTCAAGCGCTCAAGGTGCTCATGCTTATGATGCAAGGATCAACCAAGAAGTCATGATCATGACCATTCCATGGTGTTTTGTGGTGGATTCTCCCATGCATGCAGAGATTTCAAACATACTTAATCCCGCCAGCACTCTGACTCCATGCTGTATGTGCCTGTTATCTGCATCAAGCATGGCAGGCAAAAAGACCACATGTTACATCCAACAGTTTCTGGAGGTCAGTCCAGGTGGTGTACAGGTGGGCCTTGTCACACCATGTCATTAAATATCCAAGTTCAACCACATTTTACCATAGATGTCAGCCACAGCAAGATGTTGGAATGACAGAATTGCCATGTCTTCAACTTTCTGGAACATATCTGGTTGCCTAGACATTCCCCACAACTAAT